GTTAATCAACCTCTTATAATTACAAAAAAATGAAAAAAATGAAAAATTATGATTGGTTGAATGAGGTTTTCACGGTTTGTACAAATTGGGTGGTTTTTATTTGAACGCTCCCCTATATATATAGATATATAAAGAGAATGGTTCAAACGAAAACACATGCATTTTACGTAAACACGACAACACCTTCTCATTATATTTCCATTACATGCAATTAATGCAAAAATATCTTGAAAAGATATCTAAATAATGATAAAATTAAGAATTGACAAGTATTAATGGAAAATAAAGCATCTTAATAATAATAAAATTAAGAATTGACGATCTGATGATGATTATTGAAAAAATATGTAGAAAAGAATATTGTTGTGTTCATTCATAACACACTGGTATTACATCCATCCCATGTGGTCTCAGGTTGGCAACGGTTAGGGTATAGATAAGATGTGGGCTATTATTTTACCAGATCGATTTAAGAATAACAGATAATGAAACATATAATTATTTATGTTATAAAATATTTATCGGCTCATATTCATATCTTATCCTTTAAGATAAGTGATAACGGGGAGATTAATAGAGATGAATAATCAAAACAATTTAAATCGCAAAAAATATTGTTAAACATGGAACACATAGTTACTATATATATAGTCATAGGTTCATTTAAGAAGTAGATAAGTGATTCTAGCCTTTCATCTGGTCAAGATTTGCGGCTTTGACTGTGAAGTATCGGATAATTCCTTGCATGGTATATGTAACTTTTACAAATAGACGGCAAAACAAGTGTATATGCGAACTCATAAGTGCATATGTGAACCTATAGTTCATATGTGAATCAGTTAGTTAGTTCATATGTGAATCAGTTAGTTAGTTCATATGTAAATATGTGTAATTTACATATGAAACCGTGTGATTCCCAAAAAAAAACTAATTAACTGATTCACATACGAATTATGTGTTTACATACGCACTTACGGGTTCATATATGCACTTATCTGCTACCTATTTGTAAAGTCATGAAACCACCTCTTTATTTTTCGCTTGACCACTCAAAAAACGATGTTTGACCAATCTTGACCGTATGAAGGGCTAAGATCACTTCTTTACTTCTTAAATACTTATCACTTCTCAAATGAACCTCTATATATATATATATATATATATATATATATATATATATATATATATATATATATATATATAGGAAATGGTTCAAACGAAAACACATGCATTTTATGAAAACACGATAACACCTTTTATTATATTTCCATTACAAGTAATAATAAATCAGAGACGCAAATGACCTTTGACATGGCATAGATCTCGATTTTTCATAAAATAAAAGTGTTATCGTTTGAACATTCAGACACACACACATATGTGTGTATACCCACACGTGTACGTAACAGGCAATAAAACACGAAAAATATTGTTTATCTATATGTAATTTGTTAAAATGTCGAATAAACAATCGATAGATAAATTACAAATAAAATTAGATAATTATTTTACCATTATTTTTATCAACAGTTTAAAACATAACGTATAACGTGTTTACGGGTGTGTAGGAATGAACTATTTATACGTGTCTTAAATTGTAATATATTATTGGATTTTGACTAGGCTAAATATAATCATATAAATAAGTATATAAAACATTGTTTTGTTATGAAAATACAAAAAAAATTGGAATAAATTTTTTATCTAAATGAATTACTTCATTTTTTTATATACGTCTAATCAAGAAATGTCGTTTTTGTTCTACTAAAATGACGGATGTCATTTTATATATATTTGTCACACCCCGCCTAGGCGGAAACGCGAAGTGTGACGGAGAGGATTCTCATAACACAATGATATGCTAATAGAGAACTCACTAAATGAATGCTAATCCAAGTGTCATGACGTCTCTTCCTCGTCACAAGTGGAGACTTGTACCGTGGTTAGACAATACCATGACATTACATAGTCAACAAAAATTTAAACAAAAGTACTTCCCACAACCTGGGACAAGTTTCAAACAAAAACTTCAAAGATAGAGAAGCACACCAATAAATTCGAATATGTGCATTCAGGAACTTAAAAGAAAAAAGAAAAAAAAAACCCCACACGGGGAATCTCTTAGGTCTCTCTAAGGTCCACAAGCAACCCTAGCACTCTTAGCCATTTTGATGAGTATTACCTGAAAATGAATACTCGAAAACGTCAACATAAWGTTGRTRAGCTCGTAGGTTTAAATAACAAAAGAGGATTTGTTGTGTATCGAGAGCGTTTAGGACAACAGTGTATATACATATATCGCAATTCAGCACTAATACATAGGAATAATTGTATAACCAATTTAGTCATACAACAAGAACATGATAGGTTTCCAAACATGTCATCTACCAGCTAGAGCTAAACCGTTGGCTTAATAGGAATATAAGAATCACATCTCATATAGGAATCAAACATTAGTACTTTCATTGCAATAGTAAACACACAAATTGTCCAAATAAATAAAAGAAAAGGGTTCAACACAGCTTAAAAACAGTTAAATAGCTTTTGAGTATCATTTTCCCCCAAAAGAARTATATAAGTAAAAGGGGCCACGAAACTCACCTGTGTGTGGATGGTATTAGGTATGCGAGAGATCAAGCAAGTAATCTACAATTAAACAAGGGTGTGTGTGAGCTACACATGGCCATGGCTTAAAACCTTACCATTGTAATCTCGTAATCGATGGAATATACATGATCGGCCTGGTATTTCTAAAAGGACAATTTTACCAAGCGTCGTAAAACTATAAGTCAATTAGTTGTGGGTAGTCATCTCGACCTAAGTATCGATGATTTGCCCAAGTTTTATAAGTTTGGTTTCTTATCCGAAATTTTAGGTTACTTCAAGAATTTTTCCTATACCTTAAATGAATTAGATAAGGTTCCAAAAYTTAATGGTAGAGACTTCCGAGTATTAGGTATTTTCAGAAATTTTCCTTAATTTTAATTAATGTTTTACTAATTTTAAAAAAAATATATGAAAGTACAAGTCAGTAAACCGTTCTGTTTTGCGCAACAGAAAGTTATATACAAAATAAAATACTTAAAGACCTCCAAAAATTCTGAAATTTTTACAGAGGCTAATAGATATATTKAACTCAATCCAGAAAAAGTTTTACCAAARAATTCGRAAAAAAGAGRGAGTTGTGAGGCAMCCAAAACGTCCTAAATTCTGACCAAAAATTCCAGCTTTGCGACCCTGAACGGTAAAGGCTTTTTGACCAARTTAATTTTGTTGTTTTGACACGAAACTACTTGGAACAGAAAATAGACTCATCTAAATTGAACCTAGACCCAAAATTCGTATCTTAACTCCATGTTATGACTGAGATACGGCCTCTCCAACTCAACACATTTTCTGCCCAGATTCTGGAATGGATCAAGCGACATTGTTTTTACTAAACAACCACACCAAGGGCTCTATTATTAAACAAAACTCATCAAAACTTATTCTTTTATAAAATCTAAATGTTTTTAATCAGAAATATATTCCATCCATTAGAGTTACATTAACAATCGAATGAAGACCATGAAGACGATAGAAAGACAAACAAAGTGAAGGTTCTTACCAACTCAACGATTTGTGATGAAGATATCACTTGTAGGCTTCAAGAACAAAGCTTTGAATAATCTTGATGGTGATGATGACTCTTGGCCAAGCAAAAGGAGAGAAAAAAAAA